TGGTGCGGAGAAAACGGCTGTCCTCGGCTGAGGCGACGGGTCATGGGCAAAGCTCCGAAAGGCTCTAGGGGTGCGGTGGGAGTTTGCGCCGCTTTCTTCGCTGAGCGGAGCAGGGTTCGGGTCTGCAGACACGCCTGCAGTGAGTGTGAAACGATGGGGACCTGTCCGCGGCTTTTCCTGGCCGTGCTGGGTGAGGCTTGAGCGGTGGTCCGGCTCTTCGGGGTAACGAGAGCGCAGGTGTCGAACCCAGTTTTTAAGCAAAACTTATGTATGTCACAGATATGTTGTAGCAATTTTGGACACAGAACACAGGGTTGGCTGCACATGTGCATAGATGTAAGCGTAAGTAAGCGTACTGCTCGTCTTGGGGCAAGAATGAGATGAATAGAATTTGGTGGAGCTAACTCTTGTAATAACAATTAGTCATACTGTATTCATAAGACTTATTATGTGTCTTCCTTTATCTTTCCACAGTGAAAACATTGCAAAATACAGAGTGCTAGGTGAAAGGGCTGGAGTTAATGTCACTGGTTTGTATCAAACTTTTAAGCCAAAGAGAGCAGAGGCAGGAGAGTGCTGTGTGGGTTTCCAGTCTTGCAAGGAGGACTGGTTTGGTTTGTGAATGTGGTCAAAGCACCACGTTCCACTTGCCTGATTACAATACCCAGTAAAGCTCCCATTTCTCCGCAGACTGAGCGTCCTAGGCAAGCTGATTTTTTTTTTTTTAAACCCTGAAAAAAAATTAGCCAACTATTTTGACTTGTGCACGTAGCCTGTAAGTTTTCTGTCACAGGTGTGTTTCATTCCACCTATTCCTAAAGGGATTTTTTAAAATTATTTTTCCCATCTTTTGAATTATGCAGAGCGAACACTGACTTTGTCTCTGTTTCAGGCCCATTTTTAAGCCTTTTTGCATGTGTAAATAAAACACATGAGGTGGTATGTCTGAGTTGCTCTTCCATACTTTCTTTCTCATTTCAAAATCTTGTTTTAATATTAATATTTTTCTCAGAGAAATGTCTTTTGGTTTCCTAAAAAGAATTGCAGAGGGAAGCAGTTTAGCTGCTTGGGAAAATTTCTGCTGGCATGTGATACATGTTTGTGGTAGAATTGAAAGGTTCTAGGTATTATCCTTTCTGATAAAAGGAAGTTTTCATTTTTGTTTGTCTATGAATAACAAATATATATAAAAAAATACCAGTTTCTCTGCAATTTTAACTCCTATGTAACGTAGGTTTGGCTGTTCCCTGGAGTCTCTGCCAAGCAGAGGAGAATACTTCAAAGAATGATTCCATAAGTTCTTCCAAACTGTTTTTTTTTGTATGGTGAAATTCTGTTTCATGTGATCCTTTTTTTTTTTCCTCTCTGCTTTAGCACCTAAGGCACCTGTGGCCAGCAGCCTTGCCCCTGCAGGCGCCAGACCGGCATGGATGAGGAAAGATCAGCCTCACACTCAAAAGCAATTTGTCTTTGAAAAGCCATCAGAGGTAAAAATTACACGGTAACGAGCAGAGTCTCATCTTTTATTAAACTTCAAATTGTAAAAATTATCAGACTTTAAGATTATAGTCTTATGTTTAAAAACAAATTAAAAACTCAGCTGAGGCGAACTTTGGGCTTTTACCAAACAGAGTTTGCAACTGTCTTGCATATATGGCAAACGGAAAGTTACGGTCCCTCTGTTTAGCCTCAGACTTTCATTACGTACCTGTTCATAACTACTTTTTTCAGAGAGCCAAAAGAATATGTTCTCCTAAATATTCAGAATGATGCAATGTCATGATTTGAGCTCTGTTTTTTCCCTCAGCTTGGATATCTGGCTTATTTGTTACAGGGAAGAACATGGGATTCGTTTTATAGACTTTCCTTTATGTCCTGTCAGCAGATGAAGGATATTGTGCTCTGTGCAGTGGGAGGGCAGTTCCTTGCTTGGGAAAAAAAATCTTGGACACTTCTTTCTAAGACAGAAGTGTTTGAAAGGCTGTCGTCTTGGCTTGGAAAGATTGGAGATGGTCTGGGAAGATTCTCTTTTCTCTGTGGCAGAGCCCTGGTATCTCTATAGTACTATATTTTGACCCTCTTGCTTGTTCAACTCCGTACCTCCTTGCATCTCAGCACTCCACTGAGCTCAGAGAAGAGGAGCATAAATCCCAGAGACAACCAGAATGAGAATCCAGGCTGGACCGGGCTGGATTAAACTACTGTGTTTGGTTTTTGTTTTAACAAAAAAGAGCTATCTCAAGCTGTGCAGTCAATTTTAGTGTCAGCTCCTGCTATGTCTGGTCTGTCTTGTGTTTTGCTCATTGTCTGGAGCCTGGGATTTGTACATCCCTCCTATAGTTGCTCTAGATTTCTACTTCCAAATGTAAGGATAAGAATGTTTTTTGTTGCGGTTGATAAATAGCAAGTATTGTAATAATGGAAATAATTTAGAGATTAATGTCCTTTAGGGGGCAGTTGATTGTTAAAAACCGCCTGCAGTGGTAGCTGCATTTGAGAGTTTCTGGAGCATGGAGAGAGTGGGTGGGTTGTTAGTGCTTACTAATTGTCCAGAGGTATGTTTTTCTCACTGACATATCAGTATGCAGCTATATTGAGTCACTAGAGGTGGCAATTAGTTCTGTTTGACTAGAGCATGCCAGGTACTTAAATGTTTAATATTCACCATGTATTGTCTTGTTACCTTTCAGGTGGAGCGCAAAGTTCCTGAGGCAGGTGTGATAGAGTGAGTATGCTGCTGACTTAACTGTCCTTCGTGCAGTTTTTCTGTCTTGTTGGTCAGTGGGAATCTGCTGAAAAAGAGTTCCTTCTCCACTTACAACTGCCACGCGTTTGGAAGAAATTTCAGTACAAAATGTGGACTTTCAGCCCTTTTATCCTGAACTGAATTTATAATCAGGAGAGTCCAAGTCTGTGTTAACTAGTTTTGATAGCTTTGGTGTAGCTGTATAAGCCAGGAAGAACAAACAATCGGACATTCGGGATCAACAGAACTGCAAATATGTCTCCTGTGGTTAGCAATGTACATTCTCCTAGAACAGTTCCTGTGTATGCTGGAAATTACTTACCTTTATCCAGGAATACAGCTGGTATGGCAACTCAAGCAGCGCTTCCTTTGAAGGTTCGGAAAAGTAGCTGCTAGTAAGTGTCATAGTGAAGCTAGATATTCATACGCTGTAGGTCACTTACCCTCTGTGTTGAAATGGGGATCTTTTCAGAATAACCTTGGCGTGAAATGTGACAATGGGGTATGGGGAAGTTACAGATTTTGAAAATTAAATTTGCTTCAGTTTGGTCATCTCGGTAGAATTTTCTTACTAAGTGGTTCCTAAGAGGCAAGTTACAGATTCAGCTTTTGACTTGCTGAATGTTGTTTTTACTTTGAGGGATCTGGGGTTAGTTTTCTGTAGCAACTTCAGATTTGATGCTGGGTGGGTATTTGTGCAGAGCAGGCCTAATTCAGATGAGGTGTTTAGCTGCCCTCCCACTGCTAGGGTGGTAGCGAACAGTTCATTAAGTAGAAATACTTAGTGAGAGGTGTTTCTGTCAAGAGTCATGAAAAATATTGCTGGAAATAGTTACAGAATTTCCCAGAAACACTTACAGATTGTAACAGATTTGCTTATGTTTTAACTTTCCATTTCATTATGCATGATACAGCCATATGTTCTTTGCATATTGTTTATGACTAGTAGTAATAACATAGTATCTAGGTATTAAGTAAATTCGGTGTGTTAAAAGTGTTCTAAAGTTTCACTGACCTTTCATTTGTTACACTTATTTGCAAATCAAATAAAAACATATAAAGGAAACAAGACTGAGATACTATTCTCATCACAACAGTGTGCTCTAGTGCTATAGTACGGTTTATGCTCTGCATGTGCAATATGGAAGAGATCAGAAGTTTCTGTTTATTTAACTTTCTTAAATACAGCACAGCGCAAAACACAGTGTGTGATCATCTCATGAGCTGGTGAACTGTTTTGAGGGAGAAACAATGCTGGAGAGCAATTAACTCCTGGGGTGTCCTCGGCAAAAAGAGCAGTATAAAGTTTAGAGCTAGCTTAGGACAAAATGAGGCAGTAGGTGAAGCAAGCAGTTCGTACAAGAGTAAATAATGCTTTATGACAATGCAACTCGTAACAAGGAAGAACTGTTTACGCTCTGTACCACCAGCTACAATTGTTAAAATACTGCTCACATACCTGTAACTCGCTCTCCCTGTGTCACACAGGTTGATGAACACTTTGCTGTTAGCAGAATGGTGGTATCGGTCATTTGACTGAAAACTGGATTTTGCATCTTCAGTTACACTTGTGTTCTTTGTATACCTATAAATGCAAACATAACGGTCGGGGTGCAGTCTTGTACAGTTGAATCCTTTAGATTCCCCATGACAGCCCTCGTTTACGTATCTCCTAGAGCCTTAAAACTGTGTATTGAGCCTTTGGTGAAATGAGGGTGAGAGGCAGGAGGTACACACAAACTCATTTGCTTCTGCAACACCCCTCGCTGCCTTACTGACCTCTGACTGTCTCCAGAACATTATTGCTTCCCTTTGTAGTGCAAAGCATTTTTTCTTTTCCTTTTAAAGTATGCTCTTCCTAGTCCAGGTTTACAGCAATTCTAGTCCATGCTGCTCAGTGTAAGATAATTTCTTGTTGTTTGTCCAGCTGATGGCTCTTCCCTTTCTTACATCCTCAGCAAGCCTGGTGCGTATGAGCTCAGCAAAGTACCAACTGGCATTTCGAGGTAAGCGAATTGCACGGGTTTTGAAACTTGTAATTTGCTGTTGCAGAACAATGCGGTGATACTCGGCTTCTAAAGTCTAGTCTCTGCAGAGTGTTTTGACTTTAGCAGGCGCACATTGCCCTTCCTGTGTATCCTCTGTTTAGAGTACGTCGGGAAATACTTTGAATATCAGGTAGCAGAGACTTAGACAGTTCTGAGCAGCACTGAAGAGAAGAAAAATGAACCTCTTAACATCTAGCGCTTACTGCATCTAGTGTTCTTGTCTGGAGTAAAGAGAAGGGGCTATGTCCATTTGTTTCACGATCCAGAGTTAAGTTGCTGCGTGAAATTTGGATCGGTATTCCTGTGTTAGCAAGTGCGTGATGTCCATAGTTAAGAGCTACCAAAAACTTCCAGCTGTAAATTGAGCTTGTTTTAAATTAATCTAATAAAAGCATTTAACTTTAGGCAGATTTGGTAACTTTAGGGTTGTCCCTTTTGCTTACATGCTATGCGTTAATTATTTCAGCTTCAGGACACTTCAAAACAAAACCTGCTTGTTCTGTGATTCCTACTAACTAAAATGCATTTTAGTTTACCTTGCTGACTTAGCTGCAATATCAGTGTTAATCCTTTTCTTCTGAATTTGATAATTTTATTAATAGTGGAAAAAATGCTAAGGACATAATAACTTTTTGTGCATTTATTTCAAAGCTTTCATCTTGGTTTCTTCTAAAACTGCAAATAAAGTTTTAAACCAATTTGAAAAGTAAAAGCTTTGACCAGCTGGAAAGAGAAAAGATACACAGCCAGCTGGGTTATTCTGTCATTTTCTGGAGTTTGTTTTCATAATACCTTGCTGGAATATACACATTTCTGGAAAGTCAATAATCAGATTTTGCATCCCTTTTAGTACCTTTACTATATATATTCTTATTGTGATGTCTTTGGAGCGTTAAATACTTTTGAGAGTAACCTCTTGTGAACAGCATTCCTACTCTGGAGCTCACCACAGTGGCTGCGATTTTTGAATGGTGCTGTTAGTACAGTCAAAATATAAAATGTACATATGAAAATGCAAAAATAGGAGAGGTTAAATACTCTAGGGTTCTTGTGTTTGGAAAAGAGAGGATAGGATGGCAGTAGTGATAAAGGGCTATCAAATTCTGAGTGGCATGGAGATGGTGAATAAAGGGCAGTTATTTACTTATGTTGATTGTGGTACCATAATCAGGGCTATCTAATTTATCAAATGGGAAGTTAATAACAAGCAGAAGGATGCTATTTTTCACACAATATATGGCTGATTGTAGGACTCATAGAATATTGTTGGTGTCATACGTTTGTATAGGTTTTTAAAAAGCAATTAGATGTGTTTGGTGAGGGGAAGACTCCTCAGGAGCTCCTGCTGCCTCCTGTTCTTTACTTCACACCTGCTTTTAGCTGTAGTCAGAAGTACTGGGCTTTGACTTTTGGTCTGATGCATGACAGCCATTCTTATCTCCTTTGGGAATCCTGGAAATGAGAATATTTTGCTAAAGCATATATAGAAGTGTATATTCCTTATGTTTTTTCTTTATCTTTTTCTTCCTTAGGATTCATTTGATTCCTGGCTTTATTGACTCAGAACAAGCAGACTGGATGTTTGAACAACTCCTCCAAGACATACCCTGGGGTCAGAGAACTCACATCAGACAGGGTAAGGGGTGCGTAGACCAACTTTTCAGGTCATTCCCAGGTCATTTCCATACCAAAATCCATGCATTGTTTATAATTGTTTTTAATTTTACTTACTAACACTCCTTCACATATTTCCTTCCAGGTTTTCCATGCATATCTGAAGAGTACTGCTGCTTATTTTTCAATCTCTATCACCATGTTCCTATTGCCAATTAAATGAGATTTTTCCAAATTAAAATTCCCTGTCTTAAAAATCCGTGAATTTTACTGCCTCCTCTGTCATCTCCAGTTCTTTTTCCCACTCTTTTTTTAGATTAAGTCTCTGCTCCATCTTTTCATACTGTCTCCCAGTGATGCTGCAAAAACGGTGTTCTTTGAGGTTTCTGTCACCAGGAATAGTTTTTGCCTCTCTCACTTAAAATCCCAGCAGAGCACGTTTCTTTTCCCTTATCTTTGCTTATTAGTTCCGGTATGCAGTAAGTGAGGAGACTGCTATTCTGGATTTGTTCACTAAGGGGCACCTGTTCTAGCTAAATTTCTCTTCAGTCAGGAACGGATGTAAGATAATATATCAGAGTAATTACTGGACAGGGCTGGAAGATGTCTTCAACATCTGTGTTTATTGGCTTGCAGTAAAGGTACAGTACAATGGAGAATGTTACCTGTCAAGCATGAGAAATAGCTACCAAGATAGTCTTTTCAGAAGTTGAAAGTACTTTTAACTTGATGTTTGTATTACACCACAGAGCACACAGGTATTTTACAAAATTTTACTTGTCCAGCCTTGCTACATTCTGCTTTTGTAATGTCCCACTGATGCTGCAGTCCTTTCCACTTCATCCTTTCCAGTGGATACATCTTGCAACTTATGCCACTGTATTGGGCACTGGAACCAGGAGAATATAAACCAACCCAGAATTGTAAATAAAATTTCAGTTTCATTTTGCTACCTTTAATACCTTTACTTGTCCAGTCCCTGCCCTGCCTGGTGTAGGGATGAGAAAATTGATGTGGTTCCAAGATTTTGGCAAGGTAATTCCTCTTGCAGAGACAGGCCTGCTTTCAAATAATCTCATTCCTTCACCTGAGTTCATTATGGAAGGCTGAGGATTTTAAGGGGCTGCTTTTTAACTTTAGGTGAGTGGACAGTCCCTTTTTGATCAAGTTTCTTGGCAGAATTTCATCATCTTTCCATTTTCAAGCCCTTTGATAAGGCAACTGAGAAAGTCTTCCTGGTTTTCTTTTTTTAGAAGCATCTTTTGAGGAACCAAGGCTTACCTCCTGGTATGGGGAACTTCCTTACACATACTCCAGGATAACAATGCAGCCAAACCCAAATGTATGTATATGCTTACAGTTTCCTTTTACTATCATCTACAAAGAAATCCTTTGCAGAGATTGAGACACGAAAATTCCCTCTATCCTCTGTTTTTATCTAGAGTATCAGCATTTCATTTGTGATTAGCAACAGATTCTAGTGGAATGTGGACAGCTTCATAAAAGAAGCATTATGAGTGGATTGACTGAGAGGAGCATGATTTAGTTGCTAAACATTGGAAAAAGGAAACTCCAGAGTTTAACGTTTTGCTTTTGGGGTCACTGTAGCTTTGGACAAAACTCTAAATTGTTCTGTGTGACTTACTCTGTGCATCTTTATATTGGAGATTGTAGTGTACACAGTCATACTGAGTTTTTCGTTGTAAAGATATAGTAATATCAATTTCTGAAATAGTTACTTTCAGAAACACTTAGATTCAATGCTGCTTCAATGAGAATTAGGCATATTGTTGATTCCTATGTGAGTGCTGTGAAGTTCACACACACAACTTGCCTGCTCAGCAACTCCAGATTGTATCATCTAATTTCCCACGCTGTTTTGGAAGGGTTAAAAACCTTCTGAGTGACTTGTTGATGTTTTGTTCATGTTCCGTCTCTCTCTCTCTGGCTTCCAGCTTGTTGTCCCATCGGGCTGTCTCTTGGTATTGCTTTGTTTGACATTTCCATGGCAGTAGGCTGCAATGTTCTGAACCATAAATTAAGTGTGACTGTTGAAGGCTGGATAGCATGAGAGAGAAGTGTCCCAAGTCCCAGAACTGCTGCCAAAGGGGGGCAACTCCTAGCAAAGCTCAGTTTGGGAAAAGTGGAAAGGCATCATTTAACAAGATGAGTTGTGAGGATTTTGTAGTCTCAAAAATACCATAGTTCAGAAATTCCATAACCTATGGAATTTGTGGTGGAAAAATAGGCTTTTTTTTTTACTCATTTGTGGAATATCTATTTAATTGGACTTCTCTAGAAGCTAAATGGCTCTAGGGATTGGAAATGCCCCTCCAAAATCATTCTGCTGTACACTAATGGTTTAAATCCAGTTCAGAATTGCCTGTTGTGGAAGCTGTTGCTGCTCAGAGGTTAGATACAGCCCATATACCCTGAATTGACCGTTTCAGTTCAGTTTGCATAAAGTTCAGTGTTAGCACTCATTGGGCCACTGGTTTGTTTTTCTCATCCAAGAGGTACAAGGCCTAAATCAGTCACGCATGCTGATCCAGTCTTTCATCCCTGAATAATTCTCCTTTTCACTGAGAGAAAGAAACTCCAGCAGAAAGTGAGATGCACTGGCAAACTTGCATTGCTGGGAGCCAGCCCTGCCACTGGCTGGAAACGGCCCGTAGGCAGATGTATGGGTAGGCTGCATACGGACATTCTGACATTTCACTCAGCTTCATAGGTGGGAGTTCCTGCAGCCTAGAAGAAGCAGTGGATGGTGTAAAGTGCACGCTCCTTACCTGTAGAATAGGGTTTATATCACAAAAATATCTCGAGTAAAATGTAATTTAGTGCACAGCTTGGCCAAAACCAATTACCTGCCTTGAATGCTTGATCTGTAGGAGTAATTCGCTTTGTGCCCCTCCTTTTTTGTTCGGTAAGACTGGGTGCGATTGCAGCACTGCTAGGTATAATCCAGTGCTCGTGCCTAAATGAATTTTGGTATTAGAAAAATGTTTCTTTGTAAGCAGTGATGTACTGAAACACCGTAATGTTTCGACAAAATTACTTCCACTGCTGCAGGTTTGTAGTGGGGTTTCCACTGAATTGTAAAATTCACCATACGGTAACATTTTTAGTAATAAATACTTTTGTGATAGGAATTGAAGGAATCCAGTCCTAGTTGGTCACTGAAAAGCGCTTTCAGTAATCCTTGTTGGACTGTTCTGTCATTGCATTGTATGTCCTGCACATACTACACGTTCAGGCAGCCCAATTACAAGCTATAGGTTTTTTGGGTGGTGTTACTGATTTCCTACATGTCCCATAGCTGCAAGCTATGTTTATGTATAATTAATTATTCACGTGATGCTTAGTCATTGAAGGGGTGACTTAACTAGAAATACCCCTAATAAAGAAAGATGGTATGTTGAGGCTCCTGCAGTGTAGCCAGTAGGTTAAAAACACCTTAAAGATGGGTAAGCATGAAAAGGAGGTGGTGCAGACTTGATTATTAGAGGTGGATATTATAACCTAATTCCTCCTGTCTATTCGCCTTCTGCCAGTGATGCACTGGAAGGTTTGGAATCGGCCTTTTATCCTCTCTTGATCTGTGTTTCTGCTTATATAATGGGCAAAAATTCTGGCCTACATTGCTTTGGCTTTTTTTTTTTTTAAACTTAAAAGCACTCTGACAGATGAAAGTCATGATGTAAGTTTATAACATTAAACAATGATTCACTGGACTGAGTTGTAATGGAATGTGCACAGCTGCCGTGGGCTATGGGCTCAGCAAGACGTGAGCAAAGGGAAGGATGACATTCAGGGCCTGTGACACTGTCTTTGCGAACAACTGAAAAGTTACGATGTCGAAGTCAAAACCCCGAGAGGTGATGAGTTGGGCTCAACAAGCTGGGCTCACAGAGCGGGGACAGAAGGCCACACTGTGACAGTGTTAGGCCAACCGTTGTCTCGTGTTCTGTGTCAACGGCTGCGGGCCGTTGAGAGCGTGTCATTTAGTCACTGACTGCAGCTTTCCGGCTGCACTGTGCCCACCAGCAATGACCAAGTAACTCGGGTGTTGTGAGAGCCCTGAGTTAAACTCCTCTAGCTTGGCCAGGAGGTTAAAAAAACAGGCGTGCGTGGGAGAAGTTGCACACTTTTTGTCTTAGTTAAGAACTCCCAATGTTTATCCATGGTCAGTTCAAGCAGATTTTACTCTACTTTCTCACCTTTCAGTTAATTGGGGTGGCTGGTTACATTAGTATGAAAGGCAGACTGGCTTCATAGTTTTAAGAGATGATTCAGTATTGAGCGATAGGTAACATGCATATTTTGCAGAAAACCCATTCCTCACCTTTACTAAAAAATATAATCAGAATTGTTCAGAGATACTTGTCTGATTTCAAGTTTATTGTGATTGAAGTGCAGTACATTTTGTTTCTTAGTAGTTTTCCCCATGTGTCTTGATGTTATCTGCTGCTGGCCTGCTTTCATTGTATTTACCCTGCTCCTGCTGTGCTGATTACAGTGGCATCCTCTGCTGACCATGCTAAAGGAGCGCATTGAAGAGTTCACTGGCCGTACCTTCAACTCTCTTCTCTGCAACCTCTACCGAAACGAGAAGGATAGCGTAGACTGGCACAGTGACGATGAACCATCACTGGGAAAAAATCCTGTCATTGCCTCACTTAGCTTTGGTGCTACCCGGACCTTTGAGATGAGGAAGAAACCCTCCCCGGTGAGTGTTCATTGAGAGTCCTGTAGTTACTAATACGCTTAGTATTTTCCCTCTGTTTAGAGAACTTAAATTGCTGAAAGTGTTTAATAGTAGTTAATGAAAGCACAACTTGTAAAGTTCTGTGGAATAAGCATAGGGATCAAGAAATCTGTCGCATGAAACATGGCATCTTGAGGATGGGAATGGGACCACTCTAAGAATGTGCAGCAGCGTAGTGGTGCAGTGATTGCAACCTGGGCAATTACTTGTAAATAATGTTTGCCTTTTGACTTGTGCGTGGTCAGATTGAAGGACAGTGAACAGAGGGAAGGAGCTCATTTCTTTTCCATAAAATACCAAACTGTTGCATCATACTTCACAGACTAAACAGATCTTTACTTTGATAAGGAGGCATGCATGGAACATCCTTTCAGGAATTAGTTGGTAAATAGTAGCGAATCCTCTTTCTAGATAAAATGCTGTGCTTGGGGATGCTGTGTTTACAAGACAACTTAAAACTTGAATTTTGCAATTCGTATTTATCCAAATAAAGGAATCACACATTCCTGTGTTGAGAATACAGGCCTCATTTTAGGGTATCCTGCTTCAGATGTCTTTTCTGCATGTGTAGTCTTTGAGACCTTTCGGAATAAGTTTGCTGTCTGCTGTCGTCTGCTACTTACTCTGAATAAGTAATGCAGAAAGCAAAGGTGATGATTATCAGCCTATTAGAAAACTGTATGCTGAGGTACTGAAGTCACCTTGGGTCACCTAGTTGTGAACGGCAAAGGTCAGCATTTGAACCAGTAAACAAAGACATAATTTGTATTTTTCAGCAGTTCTTTAACTTGTAAATTCATTGTTGTCTGAAGTTAATTTAATCCTGGTCCCTGAGCATGAGACCACATAACCAGTGCATTATATCAGTGGGCATAGCGTGAGTAAGTATCTTTGATGCTGTGATGATAACAAAATGTTAGTTGGAAAGTTCATTCCTCTGGGAAACTGTAAATGGTGCTTGGGTTAATTCCTAGAAGTGCGTGTGTTCCCCTTCATTGGATCAGAATCAAAGCCACTTAGATTTCAGTATAAACTTCGCAGTTTCCCTCTTAAAAATCAAACCCGGTTCGTGAGCAAGATGTGTTCTTGTTCTGTTTTATATTTGTCGAAAAGACACTCACTATGAGCAAAGGGGGAAATTCAGTCTGTGCCATTCATAATTGGCTGCTTTCTTTGATCTGTACTGCACAATTTCTTCGCTTTTCTTCCTGAGATGGATGATTTTCTATAGATGTATCCCTAGCTCTCCTCATCTTTTTCTTCAGTGCCTCTGACCTGATATTTCTGACTAGCTGAGTCTTGTTACCCATGAAGTGTATTCCTTTTGCAAGTGTGACATACCTGTTTTTAAGGTATGATCCCCATGTGCAGAGTGATCTTTGAATAAGTTGCTATTAACTGCATCCTGTGCCTAAGGGAACTCATACTTAATAATTATATGGCACACATTACGTATTCTTTGCACGTTCCCAAAGCCTGCAATTTTCTGAGAGCATCCTATGACACTACATGCTTTGCCAAGTGGGAGTTACAAGAGGCTCTGATGGAAATTACCACCTTTCAGGCTGTACACCAAAGAAGTAATTTTCATACTCTATTGTAATGTAGCATTCTCTCTTTCATTAAGAGAAAGTTAAAGTTGATTGTAGGTATTTGAAGTTTGATCATTACTTTGTTCAAAAGCAAGTTACAGGAAGAGGAATGTAGTCTAGGGAAAAGGGATTCAGACTAACAGTCATCACAGGCATTCAAGCTCTTCCTGGTTTGTAATCTGCCAGTATCAGTACATCGGGTTTTCCAGAGTTATTCTTCGTAAAAAAAAAAATCCTTTTCCTCCCAAAATTAAACCTCTTTGAGGGCCAACATTCTAGTTTGCAGATTCTAGAGCTTCAAAGGCCTTCATTTCCCTCTGTTCTGGTAAGTGCTTTTAAGTATTTTGAGATGAAAGATGCAATGAAAATACAAGATGAGAAATACTATGGTAGAAGCTCACTGTGGATAAATGGTACTGGAAAAAAACCCGAAAGCGGTTGCCTGTGTGTGATCATGCACTGGGTACAAAACAGTGTGTACCACAAGTCACGTCACATCTTGTAGTCCTATTGAAGAATACTAGATCAGAGCCTTCAGAGTCTTCAGTTTGTTAGAATCTGTACAAATATTTTCCATTTTATGTCTTGAAGTGTGGATGAACTTATTATAGAATAAAATCCTATTTCTAACTGCAAAGAAGACCAGTAATGTTGGTGACTTGGGGTTTTTTGTGCATGTTTGTGTGAATTTTGACATTTGTCTGGTAGGAATTCGATGGCATTTATGTAAGCCATTCTGAAACTGTCACAAAAGGAAATTTTTTATCCTTTCTCTGCATTTTTCCTTGGCCAAAAAAAAAAAGTTACTTAGGTGCAAGTGGTATTTTTTTCCTGAAAATTGTTCTTAGAGTGAGGGAAGGGAAAGGTTCAGTCCTCCGTTTTTCTTTTTGGTGAGTACTGTACTGGATGAGTAAGTGTTCATCATATAATAGGTGGTAAAGGAGTGTAGAGACATGCATAGTCTGAATCTGCATCAACAAGCATCCCTTGTGGATAAGTAGAAATAATTCCTACTCAGATTTCAGCCCAGTGCATGTAAAACAGCTACAAATAGATTTCAGTAGCAAATTCCCCACTGGAATTAAGGAGACTTTTCATGGAAATTAACATGACACTATGTTAAGCTGTTTTACTTTGCCAGCTGGAGTTTTTCTTTTTAAGCATTCTTTCTTCTGAATACTGCCTTTTCTGTTTATTTGGACCAGTTATGTGGTTGTAGCCAATATTTTGCCTTTGCTTTAAATGGTTTCTAGGGTTTTTTGGATGTCTACTTGGTAGTTCAAAGTCTACAGTGAAGTGATCTGGTTTCTTTTATTTTCTACTTCTAGTTCCAGTAAATTACTTAAACTTTTTCTTGCCTCCTTGTTCCCCCTGCCATCGTTGTGGTTCCTGCCTACGCCAAAACCAAGAGGCGAATGCTTTGTTTTAGAGCTGTGATTCGTACACAATTCATGCAAATCTATTGGTTAGCCAACAAGCCCTCTCCTACTTGCCCACTTCATACCTATTGTCTCTGCACCACCGTGACCTCCTCCTGTTCTCCACACAGCCTCAAGGCCCCTGTCCCACTCATACATGACTTAATCGTCCTACTCTAGAGGACTTGATTTCACTGTGTTAGATGGGTCTTTCTGATACAGTCGCACTACCATTTTTACTATTGCTTGTCACTGCTCAACTCAGTGAGACAATGCCAGGTTATCTGATCAGGTCTTTTTGGAAGCTGAGTGTGAGATGTTAGGTCAAGGGTGAAGGGTGATACTTAATGTCCCACTAAGCTCCTACGTCCCACTGGGAGCTGCTCTGTAGCACACGTCTGGGTGCCATAAGGACCAGTTGGGTGCAGGTGTCCAACGAGCTGCCGTGAGAACTGTGGAAGGAGTTAGAAAGCCAGCTGTCAGGTTGCTCTTCTTCCGTCTATGACCAAGGAAACTGATGGGTGCTGGGGAAAGGAGGGAGCTTCACACGTGTGTTAGATAATATCAGGATGTTCGTGGTGTTCTCAGAATGAGCCTTCAGATGGGTCTCTCCTTCAAATGAAGCACTAAAGCACCGTCCTTTTCTTCTCTCCTTGAGTAGCTGTTCTAGCAGAAGTTAAAGATGTCCTAGTACTTTTGAAAGCAGCAGAAAAATAACCCCTCATGCCCTAACAGGCCTAATTGAAGGTGAACACGGGAAAATATGGAGCACAGTGGAAACTGAGGCTTGGATCAGGATGAGGAGGATTGAACTTTTAGATTGGCATGAAGGAGACTTGCAGACAGCAGTGGTTGCAGAGGAGGAGGTGTTGTCCACCAGTATTGGCACGACTTGAGCAGCTATGGACAAGCAGAGAGGAAGATGCAAGTGCTTTAGAGCTACCTCACTTGCAGTCTGTTGGGTCAGCTGCAGAAAGACTCAGGGAGTTTAAATATAATTGTGTGTAGGCAGGCAAGTGGATTACATCAGGAAAGGGCAATATGACTGATATTCATTCTTACTGAATCCATAAAGAAAAGAGCTGCAGTGAGGATTTTGTCAGAGATCGTGAGAATAAACAGGTAAAAATGCAGAAGTATTGATAAATGAGACCACTTCGTTGTTGGAGGAGGGTGTTTACACAGCTGGTGGTAGAGGAGTAAACTGGAAAAGAGGGATACAAGCAAGATGGAGGTCTGAAAAATATGAGATGAGAAGTTTTGTAAGGATAATCCTCTTGGAAGTAGGTAAAGCAGAAGCCTAGAAGCCAGCACTCTCTGTGAGGGCTGCTGACTGTAGCCTTTGAAAATAATTCTGCATCATTTGTATGTATAACTGCATTATTATTTATACATTCTTCTACAGGATGTTTCCATTTACTTTTCCTTACAATAGAAGATGCTTCCACTATCCAGAACCCATTTCCTCCTACTATCTCAATAAACTTGCCTGAGACTTAAAAAACAAACGTAGGTGATTTATATAGATTTATACTAGATCTTTTCATTTTCTTACCTTTTTGATTTTGGTACCATTTTAAGAAAAAAACCTTGATGGAGTCCCGGAATACGTGCAGATTTTATATTCACAGCTTCCCATCAACTCATGCTGAGCTTTTCTCACTTATTAACTGTAGTTGCTTGAATTAAGGATAAAAAAAAAAGTTTTAGCCAGTGTACTTGTATAGTGTAAAGCTTGGATTGTATTAAATGTGCAACTCAAGATTATGAAAATTCTAATATACTAAGATGCAGAACAGTTGCTTTACTAGACCTGTTCTTGGAAGCAGCTGGTTTTGTAATACATATATAGAGTTACAAAGTGACCATATAAAAGTTGCCTGATGCATTTCTTTCCATGTTTTTTACCAGTATTTTTAAAAAGTCTTTTCCTCCTTAGATGTCGAGAATA